ACATTATTTAATCTAAATCAATTAATTTCCCTTTATAATTTAATAAATACTTACTGTTGCACTCAAAAATTACAAATTCACACATTTCACTTTATAATAAATAAAAAAACACTAACCTTTATGGCATCTTTTTCTGCTACCTTTTGTAGCAATTTGACTCTGCTTCTTACACGGACCTACTGAAAATAAAGAAACACAAAATTAGTTCAATGTGTTACTAAAGCAGTTGAAAATATTGAATAAAATTTAAAGTGTCAGTTTTTTAAAAAATTAACTTATTTTTAACTTACCCTTTAATCCGGACACGATTGTCTTCTCCATTTTCCCTATTGGCACTCACTAATCACTCGAAATTTTAAAAATCGCGCACTACTAAATGTCTATTAAGCACTCGAAAATCCACAACACGCACTAATAATACAACCCCCATTTCTACACAATTTCGCACTGAACCACGAAATAATAAATAATAATTTATCCGGACAAGTGATTCGTACGAGAGCTTGGCTAATACTGACTTGTTATTGTAATAATTTTCCCAAAAACGGCACAAAAACCATTTTGTAAAAAAGCCTTTGTTCGAGGCGACATAGTCCCGCCCATTCGCCACGTCACAAGGTAATTTGAATATTACCCAAATCCACTTCAAAAAATCAAAAATCAGATTCGCGATAATTCAGCACACAATCATGCAAGTTTGCTGAATTATTTGAAACAAAAAAACGTGAATGACTTGATTGGTTTAAATTTTATGAGAGAAATAGTTCGTGTTTTGACGTTATTCCGTAGCCAATCAGATGCGAGCATATTGACGTCATGTCAAGCGAATCGGTTTGTTGTGTAAATAAGTGTAAAAGGCACAAAAAATACTGACGTGGAATTGGGTAATATCCTCGAATTACTTGGTGACATGACGAATGAGCGAGATTATTCCCATTTATACCGTAACTGTTACGAAATAGTTTTTGTGCCGTTTTTGAGGAAATTATTACAATAACGAGTCAGTTTTAGCCAAGCTCTCGTACGAATCACTTGTCCGGATAAAATATTACTTATTATTTGGTCGTTCAGTGTGAAATCGTGGCTGAATGAATGTGTGTTGTGTATTTTCGAGTGCCTAATAGACATTAGTAGTGCGCGATTTTTAAAATTTCGGTGATTAGTGAGTGCCAATGGAAGAAATGGAGAAGATAATCGTGCTTCAAGGATCAGGATTAAAGGGTAAGTCAACAATAACTTAAATTTTTTGAAAAACTGACAATTTTTAAACTTTATTTAATATTTTTAACTGTTTTAATAAAAAATTGAACTGATTTTGTGTTTCTTTATTTTCAGTAGGTCCGTGTAAGAAGCAGAGGCGAATTGCTACAAAGGGTAGCAGAAAAAGATGCCATAAAGTTTAGTGCATTTTATTTTTTGTTTATTGCAAAGTGAAGACTTTTGAGTGCAACAGTAAGTATTTATTAAATTATGAAGGGAAATTAATTGTGATTCAAATTAAATTTTCATATTTAATAATATTTTTAACAAAGACGAAAACTTTTCTGATTTTTGATTACAAATAACAATAATAAAATGAATGAAGTATCAAATTATGAGTAGAAAATTGATTAAAACCAGTTTTGAAATTCAATAAATTTTATTAGAACCAAGACACTGGAAACAAAATAACAGTACGAGGATGTTAAAAAATATACAATATGCCTAGGCACTGTTCATGAGGGTCGAATGCGCTAAAAAAAATAGTACAAGTGTGCTATGTCGTAATTCAGCCACAATCTATAATCACAGAAGTTATAGTAGCGAAACAAAGTGAGTGAAATGAGAACGTAAAATATTGGTCACATATGAAAACTATTTGTACTTTTGTACARTTTTATAAACTGTCCAAACTAAAATTCAAGTAGAGTCCCTRCAGAGGGACGATATAGTATATATTTACATATATGCATGTTTCGATGAATACACTTTTACATTTGGTTTAAGTTCTGATTGCATTAACAGGCACAATAAAGTAACTAATATTCTAAGTTGCATCGGATTGGTTTATATCACAATACTGAACAGACTTTGTGCAAAACAAAACCGCCGCTAAAATCAACACAAAAATGCACAAAATCTATTTCAATCATCTCRTTTATCATCGATATTGCACGCTTTGCAAAGAGATCGATCACATTAATACTAAGCGATAAGCAATTTTAAATACACACTTTAATACTATTTAACCCTGAATCAACATTTTCCAAACGKATCTCTTTACAAAGGTAACAAAAGTAAAAAAATAACCAATAAATTAAATAACCACATTTCTCAACAAATCCTAGAATATTGCTAGATGAATAATCATGTTAAAAAATTATGAAAGATAGTTTTACTGTAATGATTAAAATGTGTCGATTACAAAACACTATCATCATTTTATGGCATTCATTCTAACATATTAAGTTCCCGTTTGATATGTAGGGGAGGGGGGCGTTATTCACACATCTTTCTTCTCCGGAGGCGAAGCCTCCTGCGATTTTACTGGACACTTGTCTCCCTCAACTGATGACGTACTGAAAACAACTGTCTGAACAAACTGTTACCATAGAAACGAATTCGTTCCCATAGAAACGTGTTTGTTTCCATGGTAACGGTTCGGTTAAACCGACTCACTTGGACGGTTCGGCGACCGGTTGTGTGTCTTTTGTTTCGCACAAATCACCCGCTTCTTTTTCCTCTTTTTGAGCAACTGTTTCAATACTGACTGATTTTTCGATACTTTCCACTTTGAGATCGTTTTCGACGGTTTTTTTGTCGAAAACGGCATCGAAATTCGCCTCGAAACTAACCGAACTAAAATCGGCCCAATCGCCCATTTGATCGGTGTTGGTTTGTGGGACTCCGCCCCACGGATCGGCCGTTTCCAAGGGGGCGACGACACCGGTTTCGGATGCTTTTGGCGAAAGCCAGGCTATTTTTTCAATGTTATTAAAACAAAAAATTGACGTAAATAAACACAAAACTTACGATCAACGTCCATGGGAACCCCCGATGGTGAATCATCGTCACTATCACTACTGTAGACTGTGTCATTTTGACCCTCTTTTTCAATAACCGTTTGAAAAGTGTGATCTCTGTCTTCAAAAATTTGATCATCGGCATCGTCAAGTGTATTGATGTTTTGGGCACACATTTGCTTGAAAAGTTCACGTTGTTGGGCCAAATCGCCATCGGTGAGGCTGAAATTCATATCGGTTCGATGGTCGATCGACCTGGAGGGCGTATTTTGAGGAAAACGAGGACTAGAGAAAAAATTTTGAGGAGGGGTTTTGGTACTCACTGTAAAGTGTCGTCGCCGTCGTTGAATTCATCGTCGTTGAAACCGCTATAGCCGTCGATGCAGTGCGGAGTCAGGTTGTGGGTCTGATAATTGCAATAAATCTAAAAAAAAAAATCATCTATCTAAAGTTTATCAAAAAAAAATCCCCGCCACTGGGTTGCTATGTCGATTTTTTTTCGTTGCCATAGTTACGTACATATTTCAGTGCGTTTCTATGGCAACAATACGAATTGATACACATGTGCGACTCGTTAAGGACGTAAAAAAGGGGTTTCAAATAAAATTTGAAAATATAAAAAAAATTCGTACAACAAAATAACTCACCTCGTTTTGGTTGTACGTAACACCCGGATAGTCGGTGCCCTCTTCATGCAACGTATGCGGATAAACTCCGCCCTATTTACCACAAGAATTATTTTTTACGTCTAGAAAAGAGTGAAAAAACTCACCAATAATGTATCTTGAACGGAATTTGTTTCTTTCAATGTTGTTTCTTTAAATTCGTCTAAACTTTTGGCGATTTCTGGTAAATTATCAATTAGATACTTCCCTAGTGAAGTATTTGAACACAATTCAACTATTTTGTTAATTATGCTTATTAAATGGCCCATATAACCCTGTCGTACTCCATTAGCTTTCCTTAAAAAAAATCATAAAAAAATTACAAACCACTTGAATTTTATTCACTCACTGTTGCTCGTCGTTGTCTTTCCAAGCTTTCAAAATTCGCTCAATTACATTACATTTGACTAACAACTAGAAAAACAAATAATAAAAAAAAGTTTTACGAAAAAATAATGTATGCATTACGTGTGTACTTAAGGCATTCGAATTTTCATCAGATTCGTCCGACGTGTGTGTRTTCAAAGCGGATATAAGGCAATTTTCCACTTGAGTATGAAGGAAATTGTTCCACGGGTATTTAAAAAACAAGTCTAAAAGTATGGAAAATGTGTCCATTGAGACAATTTCTTGGGCCAATCGTGCGTTATTTGAGGCTATTACAGCAGCAAAAAGTTTAGTRACTTGAAGACGTGTATTGCCGAGAGGTGTTTCCAAAARACCAACACTCGTATTTATTGATGATTTCTGKAAAAAAAACAMAAAATAAGAAATTTCAATYAAAAACAGAAAAAAAAAACTCTTACAATGGGCGGGTTTATTAGTAATTCATGAAAGTCTTTTATGTGGCCAAGGATTGCCTCCGTTGTCGACTTTATGACTTTCTCTTTGTGTTCTATGTCGATTGCTTCGTCGTTTATGTTGGAATTGTAGCTAATTTGGGAGTTTATTTTAGGAATGCTGAAACAGTTTTTACATATTTTACGCTATTTTCAGACATGAAAGATGGGTATGGAAACATTTTTAAGCTAAAAAGTCAAATCGAGACAAACAAATCACACAGTAGGTGACAAATCGCGTCATTTGTGCTTTTGTTTCAAACGTTTGAGCTTCATTGGGGCTTTTAAGCACATTTTTGTGTTGAAAACTCATGTTTTCGGCAAATATTCACATATTTTGGTCTGAAATGATTTTTTTTGCCCGAATTTTTTTTGACAAAAACTCTCACTAAACAATCACCGTATRAAGTCCAAAATGATTTTTACCACTTTTAGTTTGTTTTCGAGCCAGAAACTAACTTATTTCTTTACTAAAAACTCAATTATTAAGCAAGATTTCGCTAAATTTGACATTTTTAGAGCAAAATAGATGTCATTTTTGCCTTTTTTCAAGGTTAATGATTGTTTTTGAGGCAAAAATTGCATTTTTCATCTCATTTTTTTCAGTAAAAAAAAATAGATCAAAGTGCTAAAAACTCATTCAATTTGCAAAATTTCAATAAAATTGGCTACAAAACCCGCACATATAATCTAAAAATTCGCCCTTTTCGTTCAAACAGGTTAAAAATAAAGTTATTTTTGTTTCTTTCGAACTTTTGGGCACGTTTTTTAGCCTGAAACTCATTTATTTTAACAATATTTCGCTCAAAGGGGCCTAAAAATTCCATATTCGCGTCAGAAATGTTTTCTTTTTGTTTTTTTGTGAATGTTTAAACACGTCATTCCTCTTACAAGCTCAATTATTGAGCAAAAATTTGCTCAAACTGATCAAAAATGACATTACTTTTGATACGTCTTAGCTCGTTTTAAGCAAAAAACTCACTTATTTTCGTAAAATTTTGATTAAAAGTGCATTTTTTCTCGTAAAATTTGCTCGAAAATCAAACTTGAATCGTAAATT